TCCCGACACCTAGATCCTGACCCTGAACCTGAGACCAGACCCGTGCCCCTAAGCCCGACAACCCGAATCCCCAAAAACGAGAAGCCAATGAGCCGAGACTTCGAGCCAGTGAACCCCAAAGCCGAATCCTTCCCCTAAGCCCTTCGGGCACCCTGGCATCGGGGCCTTAATCATCCCGACCCCTGGCTCATAACCTTTAGGGGTTTAGGGTTTAGGGCTTTAGGGTTGTAGGGTTTAGGTTTTAGCGGTTTTGGGTTTAGGGTTTTAGGGTTTTAGGGTTTAGGGTTTAGGATCCCCAATAAGGAGCAAGAACGAGATCTCAAGGCGTCCCTCTGACACAAGGCTCCCCCATCCTTCCACCCCCCACGAGCCTCCACGAAAAGCCCCAAGCATTCCTCGTGTTGCGGCAATGAGAGAGGCCAGGATCCGATTGAGGGTTTTGATTTGGGAGCTTAGGGTTTAAGACTTTTGGAGTGAATGAGGGCAGCTCAGAAGCGCTAGGCAACTCTACCAGCTTTCCAACCTATCTAATTTTAAATTCGGCCGTGCTGAAATCATCTTCACCACCGAAGCCCAAAGCGCCTAGGTCGCCCATAATATCTGCAGCCTCGGAGAACTTGGCGCAACTAATCCCCTGAGAAAGGACGCAGAGCCCTGGTCTCGGGATGGTTTCGCCAGGAATCCGCCAGAAGGGTAGGATGCGCTCGCCACTTGAGCGCCAAGTCCAAGAGCCTTCAGTGCGCAACGCGTGGAGATGCAGCCCACGGGTTTTGCAGGTAGGCCTCTAGGCAGTATATGCGAATACGAACGTGGTGAGGCTGCTTGGCCGAGACCAAGATCATAATATGACACATATTATGTAGCTAATCCGTATTGATTGCCTTCCGTGCCACATTGCAGGTAGCTTCACTCGGTTATGTCTGGCTGGGTGCGTCCGAGCTTCAACACCTTGTGCTTGCTTGTCGGCATCCACGTCAGACCCCAACACTCCAGACTGTCTTGAAAATCCGGAGTTCAATTCTTCCTATGCGGCTTCAGAAACGTGTAAAGCTACTACAGCTGTACTGAATTCCCAGCCAGAGACCAGAACGTTGACGAGTTGTTTGGTTGTTCCCTACATGCGTCCGTCTGCTAAACTGTCTTGTCGCCCTGAAACGAAAGCACCCACATGTTTCGTCGTGACAACTGATGCTAAAACGATTATTCGACACTCCGCAAAGGTAAAGCCCACATTATGAGAGCCAGCCAGCTCGTTTTGCCCGCATGCCAGCAGCCAGGCATGCGTCATCGAGTCATCAGCATCAGCTGCTTCCGGCCCTCCATAGAAGCAGAACCGCGGCCTTGATGATGCTTGCCTGAGCCCTTGCGCGCAGACAGGTCAAGGGCAGCTGACCCTCACGGCGCGTGCCCCGTGACCCTCACACTCAACCGCTGGAGGCAGCAGATGACTCATGATAGGAACCGTGGCCGTGGCCCTTTCGGAGTCAGCTGATGCTGATGATGCGCGCCGTGGCTGCTGCGAATATAGAAAAACGCAGCAGATGACGCATGCCGTCGCCAAGGCCAGTGCGAACAGTCGAAGGTAGCTGATGCTAGTGATGCATGTGGTCGCTGCTGCCCCAGGGTACAACCTGGGCAGCTGATGCTGATGATGCGTGCCTATACTCATGCTGCATGCCTCGTGGCCCCGCGACACTCAAAAGCCAGCTGATGTTGACGATGAGTACCCCAGCTGTGACAGCGGATCGATGATGTGCTGATCGACTTTTCAAAAATTGGCAAAAGCAAATATAGGGGGCTTAAAACTTAGAATAGGATTTTGGGGCCATCTTGCTATATTTATAACACGGAGCCCACCAAATAGTGTAGGGGTATATCACCATCAACTCCTCCCAACTTTTCATGCACTCGAATTGTTAATGCCCCTATAGTATGGCAGCTTTTTGGGGGCTTGGTTGAGGGCCGACCGAGGCTTCTGGTTGGACTTGAATGTTGGGGTTTCGGGGTTTGGGGTTTAGGGCTTGTAGGGATTATTTAGGGTTTATAGGGTTTAGGGTTTAGGGGTTTGCTGCACAAACCCTAAACCATCATGAGCATGTTCCGATGCTTTCGCCTCTAAATACCTGCATCCCCCATCAAGGACATTCCTGCAAGCATCGGCGACGGGGTGGGTCCGAAGACCGAAACGGCAAACCCGCAAGTACTGAAGCCCAAGCCCCCACCAGCCCCAGCCAGTAAGGCAAACAGCCCTACATATAAAACCACGTAAACATAATCATGGATATATGTCTCAAATTAAGATAAGAGATGCTTTTCGGCAAAAAAAGGATTGAAACTCTACATATTATGTTGTGTATTCGTTTGGTTGTTTCATCTGCAGTCAGTCGATTATGCAACCCCAAACCCTAACCCTGAAACCCTAAGCCCTAAATCCTGAATCTGAGACTTTAAAACATGAACGCCCTAAACCCTTAGCCCTAAACCATGAAACCCTAAAACCTAAACGCCCTAAACCCTAACCCTAAAACCCTAAGCCTACAACCTGAACGCCCTGAACCCTCAGCCAATTCCTAAACCCTAAACGCCCGAAACCCTGGGCCTAAACCCTAAGCCTAAACCCTGAAACCCTAAAACCTAAACGCCCTGAACCCTAAACCGAAACCCAAAGCCCTAAACCCTAAACCCAGCAACGAAGGAGCCGCAACTGAGCCGACAGACCGATCGCGACTCGAAGGATTCAGCCGGCCCAGCAAGGTGCGGATGAGTACCTTTTAGGGTTTAGGGCTTAGG